GGGGGCCTGCCTTCAAATATTCAAACTAAACTCTTATGGCTTATAAGGCACTTGGTTCGCTGAAGCGAGCTCAACTTTAACGTTTCAATAACAATAAGATCTCTTTAAGTAATGTCTTATCAAGTTTAAGTTTAATTTGTGATTTTTGAATTGTTCATTTCTTGCAGATTAAGCATAATAAAAAACGTTGTCCATAATACAATTTCACTAGTGCTGGTCAGACAACTATAACTGAATATGCATTTGTATTCCAATATGATATTAAAATTACATTTGTATCCCACTAGAATTGATTGATTGCACTTGTGTATAATTATGGCTATTGCTCTATATTGTATTCCAGCATGGAGAAAGAAAAACTATATACAGTGTCTTGCAAAAATAAAATTTCCACATTCTGTTGCCGTCTGAGCTTGCAATCATGAAACTTTCAAATGGACTTTATATTTAGAATCTACACAATCTACTCCAAACTGAGAAAGCTAGAAAGCGCCGATATTATGCAAGTAAGTTTGATTTTTAAGAAAATTAGAATATTCTCAATTGTATAAGTATTTAACCCCTTTATTACGGCAACCCTATTTCAGTTTATGTGCGAAAGATTAGTTTGAAAGGTCACAAAATTAGTGTCATGGTATCTGTCTGTGTGTAATCAAAGCTGTTTAACTTGATTTCAGAGTAAATGCATCTCTTTAAGCCACAACTCACACAATGATAAAACCAACCAACCATGAAGACCAAGGAGCTTTCCAAACAAGTCATGGATAAAGTTGTAGAAAAGCACAAATCAGGAAAAGGTTGCAAAAAATTTCAAAGTCGCTAATTATTCCTTTGAGTACGGTGAAGTCCATCATTAACAAGTGGAATGTGCTTCGTACCACCCAGTCACTACCCAGATCAGGCCGCCCTTCCAAACTAAGCAGTCGGGCAAGCAGAAAACTGATTAGAGATGCCACTGTGAAGCCAACAGTGGCTTTGAAAGCTTTGCAAAGTTCCATATCTGAGATGGTAGTCTGTGTTCATACATCGACAATATACCGGTCCCTACACAAAGCTGGCTTGTATGGGTGAGTAGTAAGAAAGAAGCCATTACTGACAACAAATTATCTTAAATCTCGTATGGAGTTTGTGAAAAAGCATGTAAATGATGCTGCAGACATGTGGCAGAAGGTTTTGTGGTCAGACGAGACAAAAATTGAATTTTTGGTCTAAATCCAAAGCATTACGTCTGGCGCAAGCCCACCACAGCACATCACCCGACCAACACCATCCCAACTGTCAAGCATGGTGATGGCAGCATCATGTTATGGGGATGCTTCTCATCAGCAGGGACTGGGGAGCTTGTCAGGATTGAGGGGAAGATGGATGAAGCAAAGTGCAGGCGAATCCTAGAAGAAAATCTGCTTGAATCAGCTAAGAATCTAAAACAGAGTCAAAAATTCACATTTAAGCAGGACAATGACCCCAAGCTCAAGGCCAAAGCCACACTGGAGTAGTTTCAAAAGAAGAAAGCGAATGTCCTGGAGTAGCCCAGTCAAAGTCCTGACTTGAATCCAATAGAAAATTTATGGCGAGACTTGAAGATTGCAGCCCATCAACTATCCCGAACGAACTTGTCAGAATTGGAGCAATTTTGCCAGGAAGAATGGGCAAAAATTACACCACCTCATTGTGCAAAGTTGGTAGAGATTTATCAAAAACTTTGGCAGCAATAATTGCTGCCAAAGTTGCTTCCACCAAATACTGACTTAGGGGGCTGAATATTTATGCAATCAGTAAATTTCAATTTATATATTTTCTTTGCAGGTCTTGCTGACATTCAACCTCCTTCACACATAAAAGTGTTAAGTTTGATCTTAGAGTTTTGAATAAAAAAGAAGTTACAGTTACAACCAGAATTATGACATCTAATCCTTTCTCTAATGTAGTATACGTTTAGCGAGATAATTTTAGTAAAAATCTGCAAAATAAGCTGTCTTTTCTGAGTCTGTCGTGGGGATCGAACCATATATTCTAGCTTTATAAGCCCTCGAGCTTACTGCTGAATCGTCAGGGGGAAATCCCCTAAGCGCCAAGACATTATGAGAAGTCTAAGTGTTATCTTGTATTGATTGATTAGAAATATTATTTACTTGTGATTCTAGTATAAGTTTAAATGATACTCTTTCTTTTCATATCTATCAAGAAATCGTTATCAAAATTCAGAGAGACTCAAATATTTTAAAAGGTTTAAATTTATCTTTAAGAAATGGATTGGTTAGTTTGTTATATATTTTGCGCAAAGCTACACGAAGGCTATCTGCGCTAGCCGTCTCTAATTTAGCGGTGGAAGACTAGAGGGAAGGCAGCTAGTCATCACCACCCACCACCAACTCTTGGGCTACTCTTTTACCAATGAATAGTGGGATTGACCCTCACATTATAACGCCTTCACGGCTGAAAGAGCGAGCAAGTTTGTTGTGACGGGGATTGGAACCCACGACCCACAGATTGCGAGTCGAGCGCCCTAACCACCTGGCCATTCCGGGCTAAGAAATGGAATATGCTTTTTACTTATTGAACCAATAGATCTAGAAACGAATATTAATTTTTTTCTATCACGTAAAGATTTTTTACAAATTGGGAAAGAAAAATACTGTTACTGAGATCAAATTATTATTTAGTTTCCCACAATGAACATTTTTTTAT